GAGAAGCTTCTGGACAAGAACTTTTTCATTTCCTAATGTGTCAGTTCCTGAGGACCAGGCCTACCTTCTCTGAGCCCTGGGCTGAGGGGCAGGAGAGACAGAGCATTGTCTAGTCTTAGGTGGTGCTCTGTACTGCTCAACCTTCCAACGCACCCACCTGCCACAGGCAAACATTCTGGGGTTGTTCCCCTTTGAAAAATATCATCAAGACCAATCAGTAAAGCCTGGAAGGTTTTATTTCACACCCCCCAACAAAAGTTTTACCATCAGAACAGCAGGTCTTGCCTTCCTTGCTTTTGCAAAAAATCTCTAGGGAGGGTGTAGAGGTGAGGAGCAAAAGTTTTATTAACGCTTAACTGAAGGGATGGAGGTGTTGAAACTTTAACCAGGAACGCCTTTCTACCAACTGTTTGTTGGGCATTTCAATTAGATAGGTGTGAACACCAACAAATTGGAACGTAGCAGTCAGACTAAACCTCCCTCCCTCACCTATTGCTCAGGGTTCACTTCTGTGGTGCTGGTGGTATTATAACCCTGCCAGGTCTCCAGCGAGTCTCCCAAGAAAAAATGGGGAGACAAGCTCAGTAGCTCTGATGCAAAAACCAAACAGAAAGAAACGGTACCACCCCCATATGCTCAGGGTTTAGCTGATCGCCATATTTGGGGTCGGGAAGGAATTTTCCTCCAGGGCAGATTGGAAAAGGCCCTGGAGGTTTTTCGCCTTCCTCTGTAGCATGGGGCACGGGTCACTTGCTGGAGGATTCTCTGCTCCTTGAAGTCTTTAAACTACGATTTGAGGACTTCAATAGCACAGATATAGGTGTGAGGTTTTTCTGTAGGAGTGGTGCGTGAAATTCTGTGGCCTGTGTTGTGCAGGAGGTCAGACTAGATGATCATAATGGTCCCTTCTGACCTAAATATCTATGAATCTATGAATCACTTCATGGGGTTTTATACATGAGTAAGCAAAGTAAGGGCTCAAACCCATTGCAGGTCACCTTGAATGACAGCTGTCTGGGCTTTTGCTGTCCTAATACGCAGGATGTCAGAGGGTGGAGTGAGCCCACTGGAGTGTGTCATGGCCCCCCAGAGCAGCGTAAGGAGGGGAGGTGCGGAAGGAAAGGCTGCTAAGCTCATTAGAGCACTGAGCATAAATTATTCAGTAACCATAAGCGTGTTCTGGTGTATCTACCATCGGAGAAGGGTTTGCTGCAGTCAGTCCCCCTTTATTTCCCCTGCTAACCACCTCTCGTCTGGGAAATGATTCCCATCAACCGGAGGGGCAGGCTGGCTCCCACGGGAAGGACGGCTGGCCTGAGAATTGCTCGCTCTTCCCTTTGCAAGCAGAGCCCGTGTTCTGAGTCGGTGATTTATACTCCGGAAAGGGAGCAGACTCTGGGCAGCAGCGGGTGACTCAGGAGAAAGGCGCCATGTGGCATGAACGGCGAGGCAGGGGCACCGGGAGTAGAGGAGGCAAGGAAGGGCTGGCTGGTGGCAAGCACAGGGGAGCTTAGGCGGCATCGCTCTCTACTCGGGGTGGTCCTGTGAATTTGGACAGAGCAGGGAAAAGGGGGATATGCCTCACGCGGAGCGATGGGAGGCAGGAACCTCCAGGGCTAGAGAGAACTCTGGAGGATGGGGAGCCCCTGGAAAGGCAGTGGACTGGAGGGGCAGCAAAGCTGGGATAGAGAGGGGGCTGGGAGGGAGAGCCCCTCAGGGGGAGCGGGGTGGGACATGCCCTGTATATGCCACATATTTTACTGATGTTTAAATACTGCCATTGGGCAGTACAATATTTCTTGTACCCCTCCGCCTGTGAAGGCCAGTGCCTTCGCCACCCTGAGTCCAGTGGTGCCAAGCTCAGGGGAAAGGGGAATGATAACTGAGCGGTTTCAACCCCACTCACAAAGACTTACCTAAAGCCATGCCCATCGGCAGCCTATTTTCTCCGGCCCCCGCAGAGCTAGGAGCGAGCCACCGGGAACCCCCGGTCCAACGGGCTGCAGCTCCCATTTCTGAGTGTTAGTGGATTTGCTGGACGTGGGGTGCGCAGGCTCCCGGTGAGTTGAGTGGGAGCAGAGCAGGCTCCGTACCAGTCCCTGGTGCAGGCCCCTCAGAGCAGCGTCACTTTGCGGGGAGGGAATGGTGGGGAGGGGCTGTATCTCATAGCTCAGAGAATGGGGCTGCTTGAATCTGCTGTGGGCGTTGGGGGGCTGGAGGTAGTTGGGGAGCCGGGCCAGTGCGGAGAGCCAGGGGGTGGGGTGGGCAGAGGGCGCAATGCATCGATCGCCTCCGCGTACTGCATTTTACAGCAGGGATTGGTGCTGTCTCGGTCTGAGGAATCTGTCTCCAGTGCCCAGAGGCCCCTGGTGAAGAGCCCTTTCTGGGCTCGAGCTGCTCAGACAGCATCTCTGCCCTCTCCTGTTGAGATCCTAGATATTTACAGCTTGTGCATTTGAATCCCAGCAGAGAGCATGTCTGCAGAAGGGAGCTCTGGCTGTGTCACACCCTCTTTCCACTAACCAGTGGCCATCTGGCAGGCATGGTGTCCCAGAAGAGGGAGGGTGTTGGGGGGGCCACAGGAAACCTGCCTTCCCCACCCTGCACCAGGGCACTTCAGCTTGCTGGAAATGATAATCACCCTGCCAAGCTCCAGGGTGTGTGCAAGCCAGCGCTGCCCAGAAGTGATGGGCCTCCACCCCCTTAGACTCCCCCGTGTAATGGTGTGCACAGCACGCACCCTGGCTGCACGCACAGACACCCACCCCTTCTCACCCCAACGCCACCAAACCCCATTCCTTGTGCTCCCCAGTATGTTTGTATCCACCTGGTGTCTTGTCTTCTACTTAGACTGGAAGCTCCTTGTGACGGGGGCTTTTGTTTTGTTGTGTGTTTAAACAGCGCCTGGCACAACGGGGATGGGGCCATGACAGGGCGTTCCTATGGGCTATGGTAATGCAAATAACACCCACCACAGCCCCATGGTCCCCCCTGTACTCCACTACACCCTCCCAGTGCCCGCCCTGCCCCTCTTCCCCACACGGCCCAGCCACATCATGCCCAGCTTGCTACACCAACCCCCTCCACATCCCACATCCCATGGGCGACACCCTCAGCGCCCTCCCTACCTGGTGACACACATAGATCACACACGGCCTCTCCACCCCCACCAACACAAAGACCTCACCACATATACCACCTATGCCCCAGGGAGACGCCCGACCATACACCTTCTCCTGCCTGCACCCCCCACACTCACACAGGGCTCTTATAGTCCTTGCACACCATCTCCCCTGACCACACACACAGAGTGTACCCATTGTCCCATCATTACCCCCATCCAACCCTCCCAGAATCCTACCTTCAACCCCCCCCACCCCACATACATCCTGCCCTAAAGCCCCCATCAGCTCTCCACATAACCCGTCCAATCCGTCTCGGGCATTTGTAACGGCCACGCATCTGCATGTCACCCGCCATCCTGCCTGCTCCTCTGTCTCTGTACTCGCACACAATTCAGTTCCCAGTACTCTATGGTTTCACAAGCCATATAGCACCCCCCCTTCCTAAATTGCACTGGGGGAGAACAGACCCCTGGCTCAGGGACCCTCAGACAGCTCCTCTCCACAGCCATGTCCAGTGCTTATTGGGTGGGAATACAAAACTGTCAGCCGTGGTCTATGTCAGAGGTGGGATCAGAATGTACATGTTTCTGTGTCTGTGTGCACACGTGCGTAGGCATGCACATGCCTGTGCGTAGGTGTTTGTACACACTTCCCTGCCCTTTGTTACCATTATTGCTTTGTGCCCGAGAATGACACGTTACAGCACGGATAATGGTGAGCATGCCTCCCGAAGAGCATGCAAGAAGAGGCAGGAGGAGTCAGCGACACTGCGAGAAGGGCTTAGAACAGCACTAGTGTGCGGTCACTTGGGAGACACTAATATGTGAGATTGGGGGCAGTACAGGTTTTTTGCACCATAAGAACAACACACCCCACCCAGGTACCCCCTTCTACTGAACCCCTGACTTATCCGGATAAATAAACAAAGTTAAATAGTGGAATTAATAACACCTAACCAAATCAAAACCAAACATCCTACCCCAAGGATTGACCCTGAAAACAGAGAAGCTTCAGAGATTCCAGAAAGTCCACTAGGGACTTGGCTATTTTACATGGAAAGGTGCCCAGATCCTATGGTGATGGGCAGCAGCATAAAACTCTGACCGCTACATAGATGTCATCCCCTTTTATGTCATCCCCTCAAGCCCTCTCTGCTCTGCCAATGCCCCCTGGGTACCCCTTTCGTCTTCTTCCTCATGCTTCTTCCATCTCCACGCCACTCCCTCACCTCACTGAAATCCCACCCAACACTCAACTCCAGCCACGGAGCCCATGAGAAGTGAGGGACCATCGGGGTGTGAATGGACCCTCATCCTCCTCTGTCCTCCATCCATCTCCAGGACTGTTTTTACCTTCATTTATGTCATGCTGAAATTAGTCTTCCTCAGGGCAGGACTGTGGGTTTATGTGGTACCCAGCACTTGTTCAGGTGCTCAAAAAAATCACATTAATAGCAAATACATTCATTATTGTTATGCCTCATGGTTAGAAGTGGAGAAAGGCAGAACAAGGAGAGATGGCTGGGAGATAAAACCAGACTGATTCAAATTAGAAATCAGGGCCAAATGTTTAATTGTGAGGATGATTGACCCTTGGAACAAACTCCCCAGGGAAGTGGCAGATTCTCCATCTCTTGATGTCTTCAGATCCAGACTGGAGCCTTTCTAGAAGAGAGACTTTAGCTAGACACACGTTATTGGACTCAATGCAGAGATAACTGGGTGAAATTTAATGGCCTGTGTTATGCAGGAAGCAAGACTAGCTGATGTAATGGTCCCTTCTGGCCTCCAACTCTATGAATTTACACTTTTATTACATCCCCCTTCAGTATCTCATCATTGTGCTAATGGATTTTTCTTCTCTCTTGGTTTTCAGCTCCACCTATCACCATGACAGCGAAGATTCACACTGAACAGCACAACACTCAGGTTACAATTACAGTATTTTTTCAAAACGTCTGCTTTAAAGCTTAGCCTGATTCCATTTCCAGCAGCAGCCTCTTATTATTGTAAGTCGGAGTTGGTGGCTGAGTGTGGCCCTGTTCACATTAGAGAAATTTGTACTCATGTATTATCTATAATGATTCCATTCTGCAGGGCAAACCACAAATGGCACCGGAAGACATGTAATTTTCATCCAAAAGGGTTTTTTCTTTTTACAAAAAATGTTTTTCGAGCAGCAAAAACAAACGTTTTTACAGAAAACGGCCGGGTCATCTGAAATTTTTCAATTTCATTTGGGTTTAATTTGAAACAAAATATTTTCAGATTTTGGGCCCCTCCCCCTCCTTTTCCAGTGGAAAAAGGAGGGGGAGGGAGAGATGGGGGGGAAATACCCTCAAAACTGCCCCTCCCAATTATTCATTCAGATTCAAATCAAAATGAAATGTTTCCCTTTTGTTTTGACAAAAAATTAAAAATTTTGGAGAAAATTTTCACACGAAACAAATGTTCTTGGTTTCTTTGGATTTTTTGTGTGTAGAAAATAGCTATAATTTTCCAAGTAGCCCAAGCAGGTGCGCTGGACTCAAATAAAGTAATTCTTACAATGGTACATCTTATTCCAGTAAGATCCCCAGGAAAATAAATCAGTGAAAAGTTCTCTAATGAAGACAGGGATCAGCTAATCACATGAAGCTGGACAAAGTGCATGGGGAAGAGAAAGTACAACTGAAATGCAGCTTATCTGAGTTATGATTACACAGAAATAAAAGCCAGAATGGCTGCTGATCTCATGGAAATCCCCCTGACAAAAAAGCTTTGATCTCTGGTAGTTTAGGTTTCTGTTCCTTTTTCCCTTGTCTATCTTTGCTTCAGATCTTGCAGACTCCTGAAGGCCGCTGTACAGAGACATGGACAATGAGTGCTATGAAGAATTGTAAAGAACAGCTGTTTCTCCAGGAAGTGTTTAAAGGACACGTTGTAAAAAAGATAAACTGAGGCTGAAGCTGGGTACTTATTCCCAGCTGCTTGCTCACTGACTGAAAATAATCACTTATCACCAGAGGGAGTCATAATGGAAAGTTGTTAATTTATCACTGTTCTTTATTTCTATGGTGGCAGCCCCCCAAAAAGGTTACTGAGTGCAGGCCACATACGCTGGAAGTGAGCCCCGTGCCCAGGGCTGTGTCTCATGTTCCTACAAGCTCATGCTTCAAGGTTTCAACCAGCCACTTGCCGGGGTCAGAAAGCGATGTCCCCCCCCCCCGCAATGTGTTCTGGTTTCGGTTTTTTCAATCTCTTTCCTCTGAAGCATCCGGGATGGCCCCAGCTGGAGATGGGACGTAGGACCAGGCGTGCCAGGGCTCTGTGGTGGCACTGAGCGGTCGCTCTCTGAGGTGCTTGGCTGGCTGTTTTTTGCTCACATGCTCCGGGTCTAACTAACCGCCGTATGTGGCGTTGGCAAGAAATCCCCACCCCTCCCCGCCCCCCGGTCAGATTGGCCAGGACCCTGGGGTATTTTGCCTTCCTCCACAGCTAGGGTTGCCAAATTTCTAATCACACAAAACCGAACACCTTTGCCCTGCTCCCTCCCTGCCCCTTCTCCGAGGCCCCGCCTCCACTCACTCCATCCCGCTTCCCTCTGTTGCTTGCTCTCCCCCACCTTCACTCACTTTCACTGGGCTGGGGCAGGGGGTTGGGGTGCAGGAGGGAGTGAGGGCTCCAGCTGGGGATGCAGGCTCTGGGGTGGGGCCAGAAACGAGGGGGTCAGCATGCAGGAGGGGGCTCCAGGCTGGAGCAGGGGGTTGGGATGTGGGATGGGGTGAGGGCTCCGGCTGGGGGTTCAAGCTCTGGAGTGGGGCTGGGGATGAGGGGTTTGGGGTGCAGGAGGGGGGTCAGGGGTGAGGCAGGTGGTTGGGGTGTAGGAGGGGGTGTGGCTCTGCGAGGGGGCTCAGGGCTGGGGCAGGAGGTTGGGGTGCGGGCTCTGCGAGGGGGCTTAGGGCTGAGGCAGGAGGTTGGGGTGCGGGCTCTGGGAGGGGGCTCAGGGCTGGGGCAGGAGGTTGGGGTGCGGGCTCTGGGAGGGGGCTCAGGGCTGGGGCAGGAGGTTGGGGTGCGGGCTCTGGGAGGGGGCTCAGGGCTGGGGCAGGAGGTTGGGGTACGGGCTCTGGGAGGAAGTTTGGGTGGGGGTGGGAGCTCAGGTGGGCTTGGAGTGTGGGAGGGGGTGCAGGCTCTGGCTGGGCGGCACTTACCTCAGGTGGCTCCCGGTCGGCGGTGCAGGGACAGGCAGGTGGCTCTGTTAAGTGCGCACTGCCCATACCCGCAGGCGGCGTCCCCGCAGCTCCCATTGGCCATGGTTCCTGGCCAATGGGAGCTGCGGAGCCAGCACTCAGGGCAGGGGCAGTGCATAGAGCTTCCCTGATTGCCCCTGTGCCAAGAGGCCGCAGGGACATGCCGGCCACTTCCGGGAGCTGTGTGGAACCGGGCAGGGAGCCTGCCTTAGCCCCACTGCGCCGCCGACTGGACTTCTAGTCAAAAACCGGATGCCTGGCAACCCTATCTTGCCAGGATTATATGGGTCTCTCTCACCCCCTGCCCCAGCCCAGTGAAAGTGAGTGAAGGTGGGGGAGAGCAAGCAACGGAGGGAAGCGGGATGGAGTGAGTGGAGGCGGGGCCTCGGAGAAGGGGCAGGGAGGGAGCAGGGCAAAGGTGTTCGGTTTTGTGTGATTAGAAAGTTGGCAACCCTACTCTCTACCATTGCGGGGGCTTCGGGCACTGGTGCACCTCAGACCCTCCTGTCCTCTGCCTGTGGCCCACAATAGTCTAGTCTCCTGTGGGCTGTAAGACTTCGGTCTCATTTCAGTTGTGTGGTTTAGTGTGTGGGTGCTGGGTGGGGTTGGTGTCCTGTGATGCACGGGAGGGCATGCTGGATGATCTGCTGGTTCCTTCTGGCCTTAAACTCTGTAACTCCAGAAACCACAGCCCCTGCTCTAGAGAGCTCGTGTGATGGCTGCCATCTTGGCCAGACCCAGGGATCGACTCAGGGATCTTCACAGCTGATGAGCCAGCTCTCTAGCTTAGAGCTGTAACAGACTCGCACCCTCTGGGTCAGGCGCAGAGGAGTACACAGCACACACCACCAGAGAGTTCAATACTTCCTCTGGGTCCAGGTCGTTCATTTCAAATGTCTGAGAGCAGTAACCATTCAGATCCCGGCTGAAACCCCTACATGAGAACGCTCATCACGGCTAGCAGCCGGGGACTGCCAGAGCTAAAGGCACGAGCTGCTACAACTTGAGCTCCAGAGGCTACCTCACCAGGTGGGACTGTAACAGACTCCCAGCCCCTGCAGATCGGACACAGAAGGAGCTCTATAACCAGGGAGTCACCCTTACAGACCTATGGCAGACAACATAGGAAAGAAAAGAACTCAAACTTGACTGATGGACAAGACAGTCCGGTACAGAGAGTCTTCTCTGAACCAACACCATTGCCAAGACGGGTGGGAAGAGTTCCAACTTCTCCATCAGACAGGCTGCAAAAACACAACCCACAGAACTCTGCATAAACTCAGCCACAGAGTCCAGCACCTCCCGCTGTCTTCTCACTTTGTAGAGAAGATCTGTTACATCGGGGACTGCATGGGCCACCGAGAGCAAGACCAGATGCACAGCACCCTCCTCCGAAGCATTCATGCCGCTCACGCAATGAGTCCTGGATGTACTGATGCCAACCCAGGCCACAAGCTGTGATGCTGACCCCAGGCGTGTCTGCGTGGTATGGAGAACAAAGAACAGCTGGGACCCTGCCTCTAAAGAACCGTCAACATCTCCCATGAGTGGAATCTACCACCTATGCTACAGCATGCAGAAACCTCACCTTAGACTTTGCAAACTACCCGGGTCTAGGCTCCCTCTTCTAAGAAAGCTTGTTGAAAATCCAGCAAACAGTCTGCAGTGCTAACTGCCAATATCCTGGATCTCTGCCAGGCTTCAGGTCAGGGGATGGTATTGAGACAGCACCTGTTGCTCTGGCGGGTGGCCTCCTCCTGGCCGTAGGCATGGGATGTCCATCCACACTCGTCCACACTGAAGCACTTACATGAGAGGAAAGTGATCAGGAACAGTCAGCATGGATTCACCAAGGGAAGGTCATGCCTGACTAATCTAATCGCCTTCTATGATGAGATTACTGGTTCTGTGGATGAAGGGAAAGCAGTGGATGTATTGTATCTTGACTTTAGCAAAGTTTTTGACACGGTCTCCCACAGTATTCTTGTCAGCAAGTTAAAGAAGTATGGGCTGGATGAATGCACTATAAGGTGGGTAGAAAGTTGGCTAGATTGTCGGGCTCAATGGGTAGTGATCAATGGCTCCATGTCTAGTTGGCAGCTGGTGTCAAGTGGAGTGCCCCAGGGGTCGGTCCTGGGGCCGGTTTTGTTCAATATCTTCATAAATGATCTGGAGGATGGTGTGGATTGCACTCTCAGCAAATTTGCGGATGATACTAAACTGGGAGGAGTGGTAGATACGCTGGAGGGCAGGGATAGGATACAGAGGGACCTAGACAAATTGGAGGATTGGGCCAAAAGAAATCTGATGAGGTTCAATAAGGATAAGTGCAGGGTCCTGCACTTAGGACGGAAGAACCCAATGCACAGCTACAGACTAGGGACCGAATGGCTAGGCAGCAGTTCTGCGGAAAAGGACCTAGGGGTGACAGTGGACGAGAAGCTGGATATGAGTCAGCAGTGTGCCCTTGTTGCCAAGAAGGCCAATGGCATTTTGGGATGTATAAGTAGGGACATAGCGAGCAGATCGAGGGACGTGATCGTCCCCCTCTATTCGACATTGGTGAGGCCTCATCTGGAGTACTGTGTCCAGTTTTGGGCCCCACACTTCAAGAAGGATGTGGATAAATTTGAGAGAGTCCAGCGAAGGGCAACAAAAATGATTCGGGGTCTGGAACACATGATTTATGAGGAGAGGCTGAGGGAACTGGGATTGTTTAGTCTGCGGAAGAGAAGAATGAGGGGGGATTTGATAGCTGCTTTCAACTACCTGAGAGGTAGTTCCAGAGAGGATGGTTCTAGACTATTCTCAGTGGTGGAAGAGGACAGGACAAGGAGTAATGGTCTCAAGTTGCAGTGGGGGAGGTTTAGGTTGGATATTAGGAAAAACTTTTTCACTAGGAGGGTGGTGAAACACTGGAATGCGTTGCCTAGGGAGGTGGTGGAATCTCCTTCCTTAGAAGTTTTTAAGGTCAGGCTTGACAAAGCCCTGGCTGGGATGATTTAATTGGGGATGGGTCCTGCTTTTGAGCAGGGGGTTGGACTAGATGATCTCCTGAGGTCCCTTCCAAACCTGATATTCTATGATTCACAAGATCCAGGGTGGTGAGCAGGGCTCAGTGGTGTGACTGGCAGTGGGAGCAACACAACTAAGTGGATAGCTCCCAGGCAGTCAGGTCAGCGGCACGGGGAAAGCAGAAACAT